ATTCTGTTCTTTCAACTTCCTCTGATGAGCCTGGGGAACCACAGCTTGTCAGATTTCTTCCCAAACTTCTCCTTACATTTTCGCAGGTGGATTTTAGATATACTAATGTTCCATTAGTTATCTATTGCAACTCCATCTCATGATGCACGACTGCCGGAGATGACGACCCTTCTTCATGTACAAGTATGTCCTATACAAAGTACAGGGTCTATCACACATGCTAGCCTGTCCTAGACGCGGTGCATGGACTTGAACCATTTGCTCTCCAGAGCGCTATTTCACAAGTCAATGGATAAAGGGTGAGAGATTTTCTCAGCACCCATGTGGAACCGCTAGTTGTTGTGCTACAACAAGTGGCCCAAACTGGTGAATGCCTGAGACGCCTTCGGGTGGCAATGTCTCTGAGGTAGTGGTTGGCAAACACCGCGTGTCTGATTTCCAAAAAGCAGCCCTCCATAATTGTTGTAATCGAGCAGTTTCCAAGTGTAGATGCCAGGGCTCTGACTTTGTGGGGATTGAGGCTCATGGAGGCTCAAGTCTTGCTGCTTTGTAGGCCCTTAGCATAACAGCTCTCATCCATATCGATAGTCGTTGTCCGTGAGACTCGTGCGGCGCCCCCAGTGGGTAAGGGGATGAATAGGGCGCTTTGAATTTTCGCCTCCTTGCTTTTGTCCTTTGTAGGTAGACTTTAGTGCTCTGACAGGGCATAAGGATAGATCCTGTGTATCCTGTGGCCCAAGCTGACTGTAGAAGTGCTGGGATGTGGAACTGTCTGTCAGGCTGGCTGGGCAGTTGGTTATTGGCAATAAAGTCCCATCTCAGTCCTAGATGTAACGATGTCACGCGATGTCTTGATTCAATTAGGTGTTCGCTCAAAGTCCAGAGCATGTATTTCTGACATCCATGCTGCTGTTGCTAGGGCTTATCAGGACGATGTAGATATGTGACGATTGGCTTTGGTCACTCGAGTAAACAACCAGGGGCCAACGATATTCCAAACGGTAGAACCTTCCACTGGAAGTGATGTCCGCTGAAAAGGAATCTTAGGTATTTCCCTTGAGTCTGGATGTATCGGGATGTGGAGGTAACGCATCTTGTAGATCTATGCTGGCGAGGTAGTCTGATGGATCGAACGAGATGTCGGAGCTGAGGAAGATATATCATCTTGAATTTTGCTGGTTTGGCGGTGTGTGTGTGTGCAAGGCTGTGTGCGCGCGTCGCGTGGCTTCCAACTGTATCTTGTACCATCTGCGGCGCGATCTGGGATACGAGTCGCCCTGTAGTATTCCCAATTCTCCCAGTACCGTTGAAGCCGTTATCTGGCTCTCTGGACTCCTGCAAACTTGGATTTGTTGGAGTAGCGCCGGATGTCTGGCTTAATCACATTTCCCAAGGTATCTAAGTGGACTTTATCATCATGACCTCCCTTGATTTGTGTGTAACCTGTTTGGCGACTTCTTCAATCCCTCCTCCGAAGATGGATGATGCTGACCATGGGGCTCTGTATAAGGACTTTGTGAAC